TTATTAGTTTTACATCAGTTTTCTTTCATCATTAATTTTTTTCTCATACTTCGCGTCAGACTGTCTATCTTCGGAATGTTGTTACAGTATCCTACTAGTATGGCCGCAGATCCACACCCTGGATGTATTTTCAGTCCAACAATACCACTGGAAACAACGGATTTAAAATCAGCCTTCTAGAAAAAAAACCCAGTAGGACTGGATCTGGGAAGGGCTGCGAGTTATTGCAAAACAAGAGACTGTCAAACACACACACACACACACACACACACACACACACACACACACACACACACACACGCACACACTTACACACATACACACTCAAACACTAAACACACTCAAACACACACACACACACACACACACACACACACACACACACACACACACACACACACACACACACACACACACATACACACGCATTATACCTAAGGGTACAAATGCCACTTCACAGTTTAGAGTTTATGGTTCTTTATGTATTTTTTTTAAACATTAGACGACAGAACTAGCTGCTGAGGGGATGGAGCCCGCAAGATGAAGTAGAAAATCCTCTCAGAGCGACGACGATGAGTAAGCTAATGAGTATGCAAATACATTCCCTCAGGAATTCTTGGTGTCGTTCAGTTGCCTCTCTCCTTTCCCAGTTCTCGATCGAATGTTTTGGTTTTCAGGACACGATCCTTCTGAGTGCACTACATGGTTCCAACTCCCGTGGTGTCTACAGTTTTTGAAAAGAGTCTGACCACCAGATCCACTTTTAGTGTTGGAGATCGAACCCGCTAGCTTTTTCTGGCTGGAGGACATTGATATTTAGCTGCTCTAACGACAGAAGTTGCCACTCCGTCGATGGGTGGGTGCAACTTATTCGCCGTACGTTCTACTCATGAGATGCACATTCTAGTCATTCAGCAAAACTTAAAGACTCGCAATTTAGAGCTCTTTTTAAAAAAGCATAACTTCGTTATTCCTACAGATTTTTCAATTCTGTTTTGAAAGGAAAATCAACAATTTAAGCATGGAATGAAATAAGCAAATTTGTGTTTCAAATTTGTGCATAATGAATTTTCAAATTTGTGCATGATGATTCGAAATCTGCCACAATATTGCCTTTGGTGTGCTGCTGATAAGACCGCTACGTCTTAAGGAGTGCAATGCACACACGGGCAAGGTGAAGCGTCTCTAGCGGTAGAATAACAGAAGGCTTATGACTACGGAGAATGTTTGATTTATTGCTCTTTCCAGTATTGTCCCTCCATTCCCTTCTTCTTTCTTCCTTCTTTAAAAATTAGGTAGTTTACGACCCATCGACAAAATTTAGATCGCTTGGGAGACAGGCTCCTGCATTGCTTGGGGCTACAGCCAACTTAGATTGAGAGATGCAACATCCCAGCAGAAATAACGAGATAGTAGATTAAAAATCCTCCCGATACAGAAACCGAACTTCTATCTTCTGGGAGCTACGGCAGAATGCTTAATGGCTACACCATATACGTCAAGGTTTTCTTCCTTTATATTTTTCGTAAACAATTTACGCTTAAAAAGAAGCTTCTTTAAAGTACCTATTTTGTCTCGTTAAATCCATGTATAAAACAACAACAAATAATTGAAACACTGGAAAATCGAGTTAGGCAATACAAAGGACATCATTAGCATTCTTCTTGCATCTCCACCAAACAAATAACAATGGAAACCACTCACCCTTTACGCTGAACGCTTGTTCATCAGTGCTCTCCCCTCCCCCAGGGTCTAACGCGATGATGAAAATGGCGTTGATGAAGCTACGGATTGTCTCAACAGTGAACGAGATCCTTGGGTAGACAATCCGGAAGGCTGACGTCATCAGGAGTCCTTCGTGGAGCGGCACGGGGGAGATTCTGGCGATACTACTGCCGAACTGTCGAAGGCGTAGCTTGTGGTCAAACATTAGGTGGTAGGGGAAGGCTCGGGCGAACTGCTCTTTGCTTAAACTCACTGGTGCTCTAGAGTGATGAATACAAATTAGAGAGGGGTTGTGGGTGTGGGGGCGGAGGAGGGGAAGGGGAGGGGGGTGAGGACACAGAGACACCATCAGTAACAAAGTTGTTATCGGTTACTGAATCATCATCATCATCATCATCATCATCAAACAACAACAACAACAACAACAACAACATCAACAACAGAAGCAGCAGCAACAGCTACAGGAGCTGCAGCAGCAGCAACAAGAAGAATGGTAACAGCAACAACAACAACAGTAACAATAACAACAACAACAACAACAGAAACGCCTAAATCCGTCGGCCACACACATTTGCACAAAATCATCATCATCAACAACAACAACAACTACAACAACTACAACAACTACAACAACAGCAATGGTCATCACTATCATTGAAAGCATGGTAACTGCATCAAAAAGACAACCACAACACCGACCCTGAAGAAGAAGAAGAAGAAGAAGAAGAAGAAGAAGAAGAAGAAGAAGAAGAAGAAGAAGAAGAAGAAGAAGAAG